CATTTCTCGTTCATGCACAGTAGAATTGTAAATGGGCTGATTCATCAATGTCACGCTCATAACTATGCCTGATCTACAGCAGGGAACTGCTGGTTTTTCTTTCCTAATCCTTACTATTGTCAGTTTTCCTCTACGTCTTTTGTATGTTTGTCACACTCTTCTGACCCGCTATTTCCGGGTGCCTTGAAAGTCGAAACAGACTTTGAGCTGTTGAAGCTAGAGAGGTGAGCAGAGTAAGCCCGATTCCCTGTAAAGACTTCTCTGTTGACATCCACCCCTTGGCGCTCATATGACCTTATGCAGTTGCGAGTGCCGTAAAACCTTTACTGTGGGTGGTTGGTGGATGCTCTGGTGTGGTTTGCTCCTTCTTTCCTATCAAACATCTATCGTCCTTATCTCCCCTTCTTTTTATGTTTGTTACTCTCTTGTAACAGCTCTAATCTTCTGGCGCTCATATGACCTTATGCAGTTGTGAGCGCCGAAAAACCTCACCCTTATATCTCTTCCTTCTTTTTTGCGTATGCTACTCTCTTGTAACGCATCTGTTCTTCGGCACTTATATTATTATGTTGTAAGTGCCGTGAAACTCTTACTAAAACTAAAAACCGTGCTGTCATCAATATGTTGTTCTGGCCACTGGCCACCCTTCCACGAAATCGGTGCACCATGGACGAGACAAAGTTGATAGCATGAATTAGAACAGGGATTGAAACGGTTTGTCTCATTCGTAGGTGTTCCAAACATTTATTTCTCATCGTCAGTTAGTATTTGGAGTATCGATTTGGCTTCACCTGAAGTTCCGGAAACTTTACATATTAAACTGGGTGGAGACAGTGACAACTACGAGTACTTGGTCCCCCCAAAAAATTCTGTACCAACGTAGTAAAAAATTCATGCGCTTCCCTATTAGCAACTTAATAATATATAATAGGTATCATTTGCATAGTATTTACCCGCTCAACAGTAAGCTCTATGCGCTTTACAACGTACATTATTACCCAAGCAGACCTGATGGAGTGTCATATTTTACAATTTTGTTTCTTGAGCACGTGCAATCAACAGACTGCATTGTATACTTTCCGAGAAGCTGAGAATATTTCTGAGAGTTCTCGGGTCTGCTCATGCAATAACAGTTGTAAATCGCATTGAATACTATGCTGTAGAGCGTGTGTATGTGCTATAAAAATCAATAATTAGAAATGAAAAAAAAAAGGGGAAAAAACCTTCATAGTATGCTGCTGTGTAGTTATATCTTGATCTAATCTTTGAAAGTTTTAAATAAAGAAAACAAAACTGAAAATTCTGTGTGACAAAAAAGGTTATGCTGCTTGTTCTTAGTCCAAAACCTGCTGGACTTCAAGCACGATCGAGGGATCAAAATTCGCGTCCTCAATGAATTATCTAGCTCTCTGTAGTCTTGCATCTCAGGTCAAAGGTGTGGAATACATCTCAACAGACTGAAGCGACGACTTTAACTCGTCATTTACGAAAAACTTAACCAGAACCCCACAAATCGACTCCTCCACCTCTTCCTCTTCACCTCCCCCCCCCACCCTATTTCACGCCTCTGTCGCTCTCTCTATCTCCCTGTTAGTATGTCTGCCTCTCTCTCACACACTGTGTCTCTCTCGCACGCGTCCTCTATCTCCCCCTCTCTATCTCTAATTCGCTCTCTCCTCTCTCTCGCTCTCTCCTCTCTCTCGCTCTCTCCTCTCTCTCGCTCTCTCCTCTCTCGCTCTCTCCTCTCTCTCGCTCTCTCCTCTCTCTCTCGCTCTTTCCTCTCTCTCTCGCTCTCTCCTCTCTCTCTCTCGTCTCTCTCTTGCTCTCTCTCTTGCTCTCTTGCTCTCTCTCTTGCTCTCTTGCTCTCTCTCTCTCCCTCTCCCCCCTCCCTCTCTCCCTCTCCC